ACACTTTCTATGGGAATTGCAGTGTTCAAGCTGAAGAGATAATAAAGGCAGTTTGAAATGTTGTCTGGAAAGGGAAAGAGCTCCAGGGAGAAAGGCCTGAGACTCAGAACATATAAACTGAACATTCAACTATTTTCCAGGGAAGGGAAAATGAAAACTTTTTTGAGAACAAAATAAAGACTTCAGACTCTCTATTTCCTTCCGGAAGATATTGCAAAGCATTTGACATTCACAGACCTTTACGGGTAATGTGAAATATTTTTTTTCAGGTTACCAGCACATAAATATATTTCACACATTTACCAACGGAAATAGTTCAGCCTTCTTGAGCTGGGACACATTTACTTGACAATATGTTAAATTTGTTTTAAAACATGTAAATTGAAAAAGCAGATTTACTTGTGCAGGTTTCACCAATAAAAAACAAAACCTAAAAACATGGAATGAATTGAATATTTTTATAACAACAAGAAATTTAAGAGGTTAATTCTCTTCAAGTAGTTTCAGAGTGTTACATTCTACATCAAGATGTTCCTAAGCAGGGGAAAAACAATAGTGTACTTTTCCAATCACCTTAAAAATCACTCTGACACTCTTGTGATGAAGAGGCTTAATGTGAAAATGTCCAATACTCTCTAACTAGCCTGAAAACATCGGTAAGAATTGAGTGCTTTCCCCTATTTCTGCATTTGAAACTTTTGCTGCACAGATGAATTTTCTGGTACTGTGACTGACAGGTGCTTCCTCAGATGCATGGTTGGTCTGGATGGTGTTTGTCTCAGCGCCACAGAGGACACTTTTTTTACATCTTTTTAGTATTGGCTGTGCGCATCACAATTCTTCATCACTTATATGATGATATCCTTGGTGTGTACATTGATCAGTATTTGCCTTTAAAAGCTTGTGAGCCATCATCTACAAGAACTGGAAAATGAGCTAACCAAATTTTGATATCCAGAATGATGTTGTTGTTTCTTAATTTATCCATATTGTCTTTGACTGAAATTTATTATCTTTTGGGTACTGGACATTGCATTAGGTGAGAAGAAATGATGACGGTGAATAAACAGATTGGACTTTTGAACTGATAGCTAGTGAGACATACAATATTAAAAATCATACAAAAATTAACATAGGAATTGTAATAAATCTTGGGAAATTATATAAGGTAGGGAGAGACAACTGAACCCATATTCTGTGTTGCTGTTGCTTGCACAGAGGTACTTTGGTTCATGAAGTTAATTCTTTCCACTGTTCTCGTTCCAGAATTCGTTCCATGATTCTGTTTGCGTATGCTTGAAATTCATTTGGGACCAGAATCATGGAACAATTTCTGTGACTAAAATTGTGGAAAGAACTAAGTCTGTGAACTGAGGTGCCATTGCATTCCAGTCATCCAAATGACTGTCAAATATCCCTTTACTAAGAGATGGTTTAACCATTTTCATCTCTCAACAAACCCTACTATTAGCGCCCATAATATGGAGGCTAATTTGGTGCAAGTGATGAAGATGAGTTCTCTGAGGTGTAACTTCTGAGCTGAGAACAGAAGCATGAATTATCTGTGTTCAATAAATAGGAGAAAGAAGACTACTTCAGGTAGAGGCAAGGTTTTGTGTTAATGACACCAAGTTGTGGCACTACTTGCTGGTGTAGCTGGCTCTAATTTGCCACTGGAGATACATGGTTGGCTCATACTATACAGTGACTGTGCACCTGAGCAAAACTGTCAAAATACAGCCCTTCAGTATAAATTTAAAGAGGAGACCTGGAAGATAGCACAAGCAAATAGAGAGCAGTGTTAAGAAAACAACATTCACTATGTATTGGAGGCAACTTACTATGTAAAGGAAGGCACCTTATCCTGAGGATCAGGATGATTACATAAGATAACAAATGTGCTTATAGAGAACAGAAAAATATAACACAGAAACCAGTTTTTTCTGCCATAGAGAAAGATACAAATCTTTAAGTGGGCACAAAGTTCACCTTAGTTTGAGACACAAGCTTGACAAGTAGGTTTTCAAGACATGATTTTAGACAAGTTAGTGAGCAGGTATTCCTGTGGGATCCCTGGGCTTTGGAGGTGCGGTGTACACCCCATCTGAGTACTTAGTGCAAACAGCAGGCAGTGACAGGCTAGCTCTGATTCTCATTCACAGCCCATGAGGGCTGAGTCCGTGGGCATCAGGTCACCCACATGCAGTAGCTATGGGCAGACGCATCCTCTTTTGGCACTGATGATGCCTTGGGGAAGAGAATAGGAAAAACTACTAAAGTATCCTCAAAGAAATCCAGGTTAAGACAAGGAACTGTAGGCAAAGCAGTGTTTGGCTTTTTAAAACAATAATTTACAGTAGTCAAAATTGAAACTAAATTTAGTACAGCTATGGAAATTCAAGGAAGATGAAAATTTACATGAACATGTTGATGAAATGCTGAAATAAAACCTTTGGAAGAGGGTTGTAGGAAAATAAATATGTGCAGGCCATAGAATGGAAGACCCAGAACTCAGGGAAAATAGTAATTATTCCCTACTGATGTGGAATCCATGGCAATAAAACATTAGCAGGACACTAGATCCACAAAGAATCCTGTGCTTCACATAGGAGGCAACTAATAAACACTAAGAGAATGGAGGAACACATGAGAGACGTTTTAAATGTGAAGTGGCATCAGTAATCATATGCAACCAATGATTCTTGTTGTTCAAGAAATACCTTAAATGTGCAAGAATAGTATAACCACCAATGAAACAAATGATTCCATAAAGTAGAAGTGACAGAAAGAAAGCAAAATTTCCTCCATGTGACTCCACAGATGTAATCATTCAGTACTAAATCACAATAGTGCTTGACTTGTGTTCATATACATAATAAGTTACACAAATATGCATAAGTGCACATATAAGAAATTGGATGGTAAAATGTATTTAATACTATAAATTACAGATCAAATATAAGCAAACCAGGGATGCAGATAAAGAAAAGTTTATTCCAATATAGACATAATAGATATTCCAAAAGAAAGTTAAATTAGCAAAAATGTATAAACTGTAGAATATTGAATACTGAAATGATCATAATAAACATTAATATCAAAAATGCAAAAGTATTACAGATCAGTATATAGATAATAATAGTTATAAAACACTCCAATAACTATTCTGCAGATCTGAAATTGATTCGGAGCACAATGTATAACTTAAAAATTTAATGTCATGACAAGTAATAATAAAAATAATCATCCAACAAGAATTTTAAAATAGTGTGAAAAGGTCTACATACAGAAACACAATGTGAAAGTCAAAGCACTAATAAAAATAGAAACAAGTATTAAAAAGTGAAAATACACACAATTAAGAATTCAATGAGAAATTAACCATAGACATGAAGAATTTCATGCAAAATTTTCTATTTCAAATGCAAAATTTTCTTTAAAACAGAATAGCATGTTTGATTTTAGATTATAGTCTTTGAAATAACAAAGAAGCAAACATGCACATAAATAGTCCCACATATTATCACATGTGATTTATTTTAAGCACTCATGCTTTTAATGGTATTTAAGCCATTCTGGAAAACTTGATATAAATATGCAATTGTGTGTTTGTAATCAAGTTCATTGCAGAATTATTTTCAATAGGAAAATTGGAAACACTATAGTGGATGACCTTTGAAAAAGCATCAATGAAACAAAGTAAGATTTATCTACATCCTGGGTGCAGTGAGTGACAGGAAGTTGAGGCATCATTCCATGTGTGGCATAAAGCAAAGTTCCCCAGAGAAAGTGATACAGTGGTGCATGCATGAATTGGGTGTGGATAGATGGTAGAAGTTACCCCCATAGAGAAAGAATTAGGATAGGCATCTAAGTAACTGTAGCATGCGTAAGGTCGCATAGGCATAATCAACGTAAGGCTGATTAAAAGCCTTGTATATGGGTAGTTAGCCACATATGGGCAAAAGAATGGAAGGAGAAACTAGAAGATTTGGTTGGTAAAGGTAATATCTCATATCAACATTCATTTAGTCATGTATCACTTAACAAATAATTACTGTACAATTAGTAAAGCCTGGAGTGTGATATAGTTAAATTTACTTTTAAAATTACCTAGAGAAAGTATAGTTTCAGAACTTAACAACCATAGACCAAATATCATATATCCAATGCCAAGAATTATACTGTGTTGTAGGATGTTATATCAATTTATATAAACACTAAAATATGTATGTATGCATACATGTATTGCTAATTTTCATTTTCAATTCCTAGAAAAAACTAGTTAAATTATTAGCCAAGTGAGGCTCTTGGGAAATCATTCTTTGTTTCATTTTCTTGGTTATTTGATGTTTCTACTTGTCTTAGTTACTTTCTTGTTAATGAGATAAGATATTCAGTGCCCATAAATTAAAGGAGAGATTTATTTTAGCACACAGTTTGTGGAGGTTTCAGTCCACAGTTGGCTGCCTCCAAGGCAGGGTGGTATGGTGGAGGAGAAACAGTCAATGGCAGGGTAGGCAGAAAGCAAGGACCCAGACAGGTTACAGGCCTGTTAGTTGGTGCCACCCACACCAAGGATGGAGCTTCTCTCTTCAGTAATGCCTTTGCCCACAAATTTGCTAGATCAGTCAGTGAATTAAACCAGTATCACACCCATGATCCAGTATCACACACCAATGACCCAGTCACCCCCAAAAAGTCACCCCTCTGACCTCTTGAGGCTTTGGGGGGGATGTTGATAGAGAAAAAATAACACTACTTCAACCTTAGGAATGATTCTTATCCATGTCCCCTGTTAATGTTATGGAATTTATCTTTTTCATTGAAAATTTAAAAATTGTTGTAAATAATCTACTGTTTCTGTGAGTTTCTAAACAGTCTCATTTCTGAGTCAGCCTTCATTATTTTTTCTGTAATTACTCACAGAGTACTTTGTAAAAGTTGAAGTCACGAAGGTCACACTGAAATGAGCTTCCTCCATAGAGATGGTAGGAAACAGAGGCAGATTTTAAGGTAAGGTATGCAGGGGAAAGGGGTATATACATCTGCAAAATGAGTGTAACGTATTAAAAAAGTACATTTCTCAAAATGCTCCACTGTGATAACATTGGCAGCAGCTTTACAAACTCCTCTACAGTTTTTCCAAATTTCCCTTGGTTAACACCTCCTGAAGATTTACCATACTGCCTAGAATCAATCAACACATGTTTGTCTGCCAAAGAAAAATCCTCCACAATGCTCTACTCACTTGCATTTGCCAGTCCACATCTTCCTGTTACCCCCTGATGACTTGTTTTAAACTCAGGATCCAGGCAGCAGTAGGGAATAGAAATCAGAGCCACCCCAGAGACTTGCCAGGGAACCTCTTGTGAGAAAAGTTCTGTCTGTACTCATTGGTCACCCCTCATTCTCCAATAAAGAAAGTAGATTCTATTTGCTCGTTCATTAATCTGTAACAACTATTTAATAAAGCTTGGTTATTTATCTGGTAATGAAACACAGACATGAATAAATGCAGGTGTTGCTGTAGGTGTCTTAAATAATTAAGCTAGTTAAGCAGATAGTGGCAATAACATATGATTTGTGGAATGAGTGGCCAGGTGGGAGGATCCTGCAATCCCAGCAATTCAATGAATCCTGTCTCAGGATTTAAAAAAAAAATAAAATGATAATGAGGACTGGGGACATAGCCCAGGGTGAAGACCATATACAGTGTGGGAAGGAGAAGAGGAGAAGACTTTTTCTGGAGGATATCATGTAAATTTTATCATGAACTAGAGTGGGAATTATCTAGAGGAAATAGTGTATGCCACCGAATGATACAGGGAGGAAGAAGTGTTTTCTCACTGGCATATACAGGTATTAGATGAGTTCATTTAACTTTTTTTAACTTAAGCATCTGAGTTTCTTAAAATCAATTCCTACTTCTGGAGTAATTCAAGGTAATTTATACATGGTAACGTATAGTAGAAAAATGAGCATTTTGCCTTAGAAAGGTTTTCCTTTGGTTACATATTCAAAGAGCCATTCAAGTGATCATGTAATTTCCATCCTTAAGACAGTTTAGAAGTGACCTGTAGGCTCACAGAAAAGAAGATGAAAGTAAATATTTATTGACACAATTCATTTTCTCTTAAGATTTCAGTCGTGCTTTGGATCAAATAGAGCTAAAAGACTTCAAGGTTCCCAAGGCTAAATTATCGTGAAGCTCTCACATAAATTCCAATGCTATCTTTCATATTAGAATATATTAAAAGTGTCTTTGGTGACCCATAGGAAATGATTTTATTCTTACACATTCAATTTGAAATAAAATCTTCCTAGTACAACACAGACATTCATAATTCACTTAATGTTTGCTTTATGCATCTAAAAAGAAAATAAAAATTAATGCATGATAGTGAAAAGAGTATTTTCTTTTGAAGACCATTTATTTATTTATTTATTAAAAAATTTGTTGTGTGGCTATATTGTTGTAGTGCTAGATACTAAAAATGCAGGTGAATGAGACAGGTGTGATTCTTGTCTCTGTAGGATACATTCTTGTGAAGGAAATGAACAACAATAAATAAGCCATTAACAAATACAGGTTCTAATAAATGCTATGAAACAAGTAAATGGGATTATCTGATCGGGCATCACTTAGGGCTGCCATGTTAGGTAGGGAGTAAAGAAAATCTCCACACAACAAGTGATCTTTAATCGAAGGCTTGAATTTTGGCTGTGTGAGTCAGTTTACAGGTATGTAGATTGAAGATCATAACTACCATCTGATAGGGCTCTTGACAACATCAAATGATACCATCAATTACAGTGCCATGTACAGTGCTTTTGTTAAGTAAATAAATAATAAATGTTAGGATCAAAATAGTTGCTTATAGAATACACCCCACCCCCCTTGCCTCTTCTTTAGCAGAGGCTGAGCTTATGCAACTACCTCCGTACTCTGAAAAACAGTATGGAATTTCAAATTCTCCTTCTTCCTAGAATATTAAGATACTGAAATCCAATTAAGAAATGCCCCAGTGCTTCTTTAAAAATTGCAACTTAACTTGTAACAGCTCATTGGAGTGCAGGAAGAGGGGGTACATGGGGTGACAGGGCTGGGCACAGGAAGCCAGGGGCAGGCACCCTGTGGCTCTTCTTCTTCCTTTCCGTTTAGTCCACTGCATCTTACCCATGCTGACCAGAACTCTGGAGCTTACCTGCGGAAACAAATCTCCCAAAGGCAGGTGACAGCCACAGAGAGCACAGGAGCATATTTAACCCTGGGATTTCATGAAGTTTGGGCTTTCTTGAGTATGCTGAGGGTAAAAGTTGAATTAAATTTTTGAGAAAAACGATGACCAATAATATTTTTGGCCGTTATGCTCCTTTTGTGCAAGCCTCCATCCATGCTGTTGTATGCATGTGGCAAAAACTATAAAATCAGTTAAAATCCACATAACAGCTTACATATGATAAAGTATAGTCTAGTACATTATCCAAGAGGAATCTGGTAAGAATACATCAGAGTTTTATTGTTAGCCAGTATTTTCAAAATAAACAAAATGCTACTTTGAGGTATCAGGTGATTTTCTCAATAACACTCAGGTGTTATTGACTTGAGGGAGTTGAATTCCCATTTCTTTTTAAAATTTTATTGAGAGATAACATACGGGCTGTCATGTTATCCTCAGAAGAGAGGTGGAAACCAAGCTCGGTCCTGCTGATTGTCTGCTTCTGCAAAAGAGGTTGCAGCACGCGACAGGCAGCCTGCTAGATGGGTTATGGTTAATTCTCCATTCATCTCTCTTCTACATCAACTCTTTCCCTTTGTATCTTGGCTGCTAGGGAGTCCTGAATATATTTTAAATTTCTTCCTGACTGTGGTTATCACCTCGTTTCTTCATGCATTTTCTTTTTTCTTTTTTATTGATGTTTTAACTTTCCTGTGGGTATTTTGTCATTACATTGATATTTACACCTCCAACTGTTTCCAAAACTATATGCATACTTGCATCTTCGTGGGAAGCCTCCTTTAGTCTAGGAGGGAAGCTGGTAGGACATAAATCATAAGTCTACCCAGCTACTCAGAGCAATTGAGAGGCTTGCAATTCGAGAAAGACTTATTGGGCATTACAAAGCAAAGCCGAAGTTTTAAAGCACATTAACCTGCATAAAAACACAGATCTAAATGAGCTTGACTTTGTAGCCATAACTTTATTTAGAGCTCACTTATTTTACTCAGTTTTTTTATTTTCAGACCTAAATAAAATGACTCCTTTGTGGGGCCTCCGGTTACATCCAATAGGGCCACACTGAGACTGAGCTTCTGTTATACACAGAAAAAACATAAGAAAGTTCCACTTATAAAAATACTCAGATGATGCAAGAATAATTCACTTGACAAAGCCTAACTGAACTGTGTACAAATTGTCCATTGCTTTGGACTGATATATTTTTAGGTTTAGATGGGAAACATCTCACTGTGTTTTAAGATAACTATAGCTGTGCACATCAAGAATGACAGTAAAGATTTCTCTCTTCACACATAAATAGCAAAGATGCTGGGTTCCTTATAGTGAAGTGAAGGTTTAAAAGGATCCTTGAATTTTCCAACTCTAGAGGTATATGTATTTGCATGTGTGTGTGTGTGTTTGTGTGTGTGTGTGTGTGCACATGCACATGTATGCAGTTGTGTGTGTATCTGTGATAGTTTTCAAAACTGCACTTGTACTGACTCTTGCCAGTGGGATAATCACTAGATAAATCTGCTTCATGAAAAGATCTTACAGAGCAGGGATTCCCTAATATTCTGGTTCCCGGTAGAGGGGCTCTTTGTTTATTCATTTCCCTCTACTCTACTGCAGTACTACTGCAAATGAGGAGTTAAATGTCATCGTATGCTCATATTTCCTTAGTTTTTTATTAATTTAACACAAATTGTGGTTGAATGTTCATCTCTCGACAACATTCTTAAGGTTATACTATAATGTACCATCTACACTGTGACACTGTAACACTTCTGAAAGCAGTATTATTAACACTCAGTCCCTGTAAGTCTTGGCTACTTTTCTTTCATTGCTGAGATAAAATACCTGATCCCAAAAAGAAGGAAGGAAAGGTGTATTTAGCTTACAGTTTGTGGAGGTTTCAGTCCATAATTAGCTGGCTAGAAGGCAGAATGACATGGCATTGGGGCAACACTTCATGGCAGCAGCAAAGCAATGGAGGGGAAGGAAAGAGTAAGATACTTTTTCCCACCCGGCATATTGAACACAAGCCTCCCCAGAGCAGAGTGTAGCACTCATAAAATCTCTGTGCCCTCCTCTTGCACAGGATGAAGATATTTACAAAGTAAGTATCCTGGCTCCCTGCTGAGGCTCTCAGTTAAATGTCTAAACTTCTCAAGTTGACACAATATATCAATCATTACACTGTGTTTTGGGTAAGGTGGTTTAGTCACTCTCTTCAGGGTCACACTGACATAAAAGGGAAGAGACGAAGCCTGTTTACCTTGGATAAATGTCTCCACATTGTGAAGTTGAGTTCTTTGAGTTGCACCATGGGAATAAGATATTCAGCTATTTAGAATCTCAGAATCCACTTTTCCATGTAAGCATTTTCTCTTAAAAATTTGCTCACTAAAATGATTTTGGAATTTCATGGGATCATTGGGAAAGTTAGGCAACTAGCACCAATGACATTTCCCTGATCTAAGTGAACAAAACCAAAGCTGAGTCCCAGGTGTCACCTGGTGAAGAAACAACTCCTCCCTAACACGACTGTTTTCAGTGCTGTTCCCAGGAACTGGCAGTCTCAATAAGAAACTTCCTCTTTCATTGTTGCTCCAAACTGAATTACAGTTTATGTGGCTTTTGGTCACTGGGTCACCTGCTCATGTTTGAGTTGGAAAAGCAACAAGGAAGAGACTGGATGACTGTTTCTTTCACGAAAATGTCTCCCATTAATGCAAAGATGTTTATAATTGTTGTGGGGTGGACAGGAAATGAAGAAAATATTCATAAGATAGAATAAGAATGTGTGCGTGATCTGTGGCACAGAGTTACTCTCGTGATCCAGTTAAGCAATGGGAAAGTCCACCGTAAGTGTTAAAATGCGTGATTCATCGCTATTCTGTTTTGGCATAACCTCGGTTGTATGTAATCCTTTATAGGTCACCTACCATTATTGCATTATTAGTTCAGGGAAGACAAGAAACACAGCTAATAAAATATTCCCACTACTAATTTAATAGTGTGACACACAGAGAGCTTCAGAAAATGTTCATTAAATAGATACAGATGGCTAAATAAGAATGTTCTTCCAACTTCCCACGGGGAAGGAAAGGGGTCACCTTCATTGTGAGATGTGACTATTTTATGGATTAAGCATTAGATCAGATTCAGGAACGATGTTGCACACCCAGAAAACCAGTGCTCATAGAGGTTGCTCCTACCCCCATATATTTCCATGCTCATGTGGGCAGTTTAGTGCCCACTTCCAGAATGATTTGGGCCACTTCTTAAAATGTGCATGTTAAGAGTCGGAAGCATCATGCCACTCGATGAGTAAGGATTATGCCTGGTTGTTACAACCTCCACTTTCTTTGTGCACTTCTACTAATTCTGCATGCTCTGACTCTAAGGGAAAAGCACATAAATTATGACCCTGTCATTTGGGGTCCATGTGACATGGCCACCTGGTGTCCTCTCCTATGGCCCTCTTTGAAGATAAGGGCACAAAATGAAGATTAACGCACTCAGTCCTTGGATCCTGTAAGTGATCTGAATTTATATCCTTTGTGGGAAATTGAATTAACATTTTCAGCTCTTCTTTCCCTCTGAGAAAACAAAGAGTTTAGGTGACTTGTTCTGCTTTATCCTGCTGCTAAGAGCTAAGCCAGAGCACAGTGTGTGTCCTCCAAATGTCGTTAGAAGATGTGAACCAGGGTAGCATCTGTTCTGTTCATGCTATTGGGTAAATCCACATTTCTGAATGTGAGGTTAGAGACCCAGCAGTCAGATATTAGTTCAAGCAAGGACAGGTACCCAAATTGCTCATGAAACTGAAGTAATTTGTGGTCTGTGGTACATTGGCAGAGAAAGTCCCCAAGTTATTACAGTTCTCTTTAAGAATGTCGAGTATCATTTTCTTGTGACAACACCCTTAAACAAGATGAATGGAGGAAACTTGTCCTAATTATGGGTGTTGTGTTGCTAAGGTTCCCAGGATTGAGGTTTTAGGACCATCCATAAGTAATTTCTGGTAGAGAAAATCACTTTTAGACTAAGAAAATACCTTGAAAGCCTTTCTACTAAAAGTCTCACCTTTGAATTTGTCTCTAGGTGCCTATGTGGTTAGGAAAGGGGCCAAAGAATGAGAGGCAAGCGTGAAGCAAGTGAGGCGAGTGTGCACCCACAAGCAAAGAACCTCCAGGGTCCATGCGAAAATGTCCTTTAAACTAAGGGAAGGTGAGTGTTAAGCAGTCCTAGAGAGAAGACGCAAAGACTGGTCCTTGGACTAGTGGCAGAATTAGGTAGTTACCCAAGATGCACAGTGCACCCGCCTCTGATCCACAAGTGATCCACCATTTCTTTCTCCCCAAGAAGAGACTTTTCAAGCAGAAAAAAGTTCTGATATCCTTTTCCATTTCAATTAAGTAGGGCCCATCCTGAAACTGAGATTCAACAAATCTTATTTTCTTTCAGCTCACACTGGCTCTGAGTTTGTGTGCCTGTGCTTACAAGTGTATATATCAGCAGCTGCATTTGGAATGAAGACAGGAAACACAAAAAAGAAAGCCCTGGAGACAAAAGTACTTGCAATCGAGGTTCAAGATAGATGTAAGATGTGGTTACTTTGGTACCATTAAAGTGTTATCTTTGCTACGTTACAAACAGTCACACGGGAATTCAGCCACTTATTGCTTATTTTCCTAATTAGTGATCTCAATTAGTGGAGTTCCATTTCCCCAGTTTAAGTGCTGTGCTGTGTTGGAGGTTTCCCTGAGCCTGGCCATCCTGTAGCATAAGGAGCCCCACTAGCAGTTGGCATGGAGAGGCATAAAGGGAGTTGGAGACACCAACTGTGTTCTACTTGGGAAGCTAATGGGCTCCCAGGCTCACTGCAAAACCAACAAAGCTGTTCTACCTTGGTCTGTTTCTTAGGATCCCTAGCTAAGGGGAAGGTGAGGAAAGAGAAACACCAGAACTGGAGAGTGCACTAATGCCACAATTGACTAGGTAATATTTAAAGCAATATTTAGGACAACAGGCTAGCGATGGACCCATACTGGTCCTCTACTTTGTAACTAACACTTTATTAGAACTATAGCCAGGAGAACAGTTTGAAGCCAGTCTGGACCACATAGAGAGTTCAGGGCCAGCCGGAACTAAAATACAACACCCTGTATCAAAAAGACAAGCACACAACAATCAAAACAAAATAAAATGTTGCTTTAATACCCTTTGGATTAATACTCTGAGTTCTTTAGAGGGCTCCGTTTGTTCTACACTAATCATGATTTCAGATATTTGGGTCCTAGATTAAATTCTGAACAGAATATATGCTCAAAAGCTGAGATCACATCTCTAGAATGTGCATATTGACAAAGCACTTAGAAACCAAGGCATGGCTAGAGGGAAGAGGTAGGAAAGGGTTCAACAGGGAAGGGAGAGAGCATTTTTTTCAAATGCTGTCAGAATTTCACCTTTCTCACAAGTCATTTATGATGTTTTTGTTCTGGCTAAGGGTATGGCTAAATATTTAACCTGGTCTTCGCCACTTAATAGACTTTTAGAGTTGTACTCTTAATTATTATACTTTTAGGATCTCGATGTGTTAAGTGAGCACAATAAAATACCCATTTCATAGGTTCATATTGTGGCTATCAAATGACATTAGATGCATATAAAGTTGTGAAGCTCAGTTTCTGGTATACACAAGGGGCTATATAAATACTCGCAGTTAATTTCCTTGTATTTGATGCTATCATTGCATTATTTACTAAGTGACTTCTCTATTACATTACATAGTGTACTATTAATGTATTATGTGAATAGTAATAGGTATTCAATGTCAAATTATGTTACCCATGTTACAAGTTACATACAACATGTTGTATATGTAAATCATATATTTTATTGTCTGCATTTCCTGAAAAACTATTTTGTCCTTTGGAAAAAGAGTTTACACAGTATGCCACTCTCATAGCTTGGGTTTTGCTTGCATTCATTTAATTTGTCTTTTATATTGTTTTGATATACTTAATGCTACAGTATACGAAGTTGTACTCAAGGATTTCAAGGAAAGAGACAATACGGTAACTACTTTTAGGTCAGGATTATCTGGTGGTGAAACACTATTCTGCTTAAATGGTTATGTTTTGATCTGCACTGTTTCGTTGTTATGCCCTCTTTTATCTCAATCTCCACTCCATTATTTACTTTTTTATTTTTATCCTTTTAATTAAAGGAAAAAAAATAGCAGGATATATTATAGTAACCCACTTTGACTTTCCATTACCTCGACTTAAAGCCCTGTATTACTCTCACCATCTGGTTTTTAACTGATGTTCCCCTATTCTGTTTTGCTGGATAGTATGATAGGCATCAGCTGTGAAGATAATGAGATTCATTATAACTCCTATTCTCGTTGACTTTTATCTACTTTTGAAGACCTACAATATCTTCAATGTTTTGGTTTTGTCGGTTTTATTCTTTACTGTTTTGTTCAATTGTATTATAACTAACGATATAGGCAATTCTATTAGAGATAGCGGGAGGCATTATGGTAACCATTGTTGATCACCTTGTATTATGTTTTCACATTATCTATTATGTCCACCCTTTTGACTTGACCGATTCTGTTCTGCTATGTCACATTTGGTTTTACTCTCTTCCAAAAAAGTAATAAGAACCGTGGGAGCAATGAAACCCAAAATGTGTAATAGTCATTGTACAAAAGAGAGGAAAAGAAAGTGCTCTAAACTATATAACTGCATGTATATTTAAGTGTATAAGATAGAAAATGATATCATAGAGTTTTATTGGATCATTGAACAGATCTGTTTGCAGTATCATTGATGGAATGTCCACTTTACAAGCTTTAATTTTGTGACTTGAACAATTATTTCTAAGATGACAATATGTAATCCATTAACTAGTGATTTCCTACTGTTCATTTTTTTTCTGTAAATCTGTATAACTTGTACCCTTTCTCTGTTTTTTTTTTTTCTTTTCTCCTTAAATAAAATTTTAAAAAAATTTTGTCTTTTATTCAGTTGGTAACATGTTTTCAAAAGAAGTGGTAGTTGTCTTGCTTCCTCCATATTTGTCCCCCTTTTTTTATTTTCACAGTGATCTTGTGAGATATAACCTATTATCTACATTTGCCCCTTGAAGAAAGAGGCATTCAGAGAATGTATGTGATTATCCAAGAAAACTTTCATTTGGATGTAATCTCAATCTAGGCACCATTATTCAGGCTTGTAACCTCAGCAGTTGAGGCTGAGGTGGGTGAAGTCTCACCCAGACTCTCTCTCAAGCAATGAAACAAAAATCTTAAATGCAATCTAACATATCAATCCAGTTGCATTCAACAGTTTGTTTTGTTTTCATCTTTTGCTAGATCACACTGCCTTTCAGGAGTAAATATACTGAATATATCCATTATGGCTCAATAAGTGATCCTTTCACTGGCTTGAGACTGCTTATTGTTACTTTTTCTGAGAAGTCGTTTACTTGTATCTCAGAACCATAGTGGATGTTGCTGTACCATCAGCTACTCTTTTGGGACTTCAGCACTTACTGGACACTGTGAAGTCACTCACACAGGTGGTAACTACACATTGACCTTCCCGAGATTACACAGTGTGCTTTATCTACCTCTGTGCCTTGGAGATGCTCACTTAACATACACTGAATGAAAGAGTTTGCCTGTGTGTACACTCATTTGATAAGAGTGGCAATCCAATCTTCCGGACACAGCCTGAGAATTTACACTGCTTTTCCCATAACGACTTCATCTCTTGATTATTAATGACATTCTTTTCAATTTACTCTATGGTTTATCTTGCAAGGCAAAAAATCACCTAAAAAGCATGAAAGAGCATATTAAACATAGTATGCTTCTTCCAAATTTTATAAATAACTGCTTTTGGGATAGTAATAAAATGTCTGATATCATATTACTCTGAATTTGACATTGCTTGGGAAGTTCAACTTGACTTCTAGAAAATCTTGCATTCTGTAGATATTTAATAGCTCTTTCTAGATAGATGGCAAGACCAATGGAAGGCTTTTGGGCTACATAGATGAATACAACACAGCCCCTTCTGAAGGTCACACACTAGGCAAGAGAGGCAGGAGAGGGACCAGTGACTTCTCAGTATAGTTCCTTGGACACATTTTTGGGAAAACTCAACGAGTGAGGTAAGGTCAGTTCCATCACTATTTTTTGCCATAGTATTCTTCATTGTAATTATGATTGGTGTTATTGGACAAAACTATGAAAAAGTCAGTTTACAAAATGTACTGTATAAGAAAGCACGATTCTTGTGGAAGAAATAAGTTTAGTACAGTGAAACAGAACTCCTTGATACTCTAAGCACAATGCAGTTGGAAATGAACTCAGAAGGCAGCTCAGAGGTGCATGGGGCTGTGAAAGTTCTATATTGGGCATGCACTTGCATCCTGAGTGAAGTCATTCTCCATTGAACAAAAGCACTTTTTGAAAAATGAACTTGCGTTGATGAGCTTGTTTGTGGCTTTTCCCTGGGAGAAATCTGATTTAAACAAATTAAATTTCTTCTACTTTTTAAATTGAACAAGCCAGATCCTCAGACCTATCTCCCTCACTCCCATGCTGGAGTGAGTCTAAGACCAAGCTATAATTGGTAATTAATAACTTCAGATTCTATTATGGAAGTCTCATTACAAATTCCACCTGCACAGGAGCTTCACAAGAAAAGTACGTGCTTGGGTTTTGTGGTGAGCAAAATCCCTCTCCGTGCAACTAAGAAGGTCAGAATGACATTGAGACAGGAGACTTTGCCCCCTGGTGACCTGCCTTGGGGCCATCACTGGACATCTGTGCCCCTGCTTGTGCCCACCGTGGCAGAGGCAGGTGAGAAGTCAGGTCCTTCTGCAACCACGTAAACTAACAAGGTGAGTCTCATACAGAAAACTCAGGTTTCTTCCGTTCAAAGTCTTCTAAAGAGTGCTTTTCTTGTACCTATGAAGTCCTCTTATTTCTATACATAAATCAGGGCTTTGAATTGCAACCTCTGAATCCTGCAGCTTCTGAACACTGCTTGACTTGGACAAGACCTAGGGAATCTCAGGAAAAGTGAAGCTGAATATGGTCACAGGTGACACAGAAGCAGTCATGGCACCAGGAATGGTGTCTTTCTGCACAAATTTCATTTCCCTTGGTTGTCATGTAGTTGGTGGTGGCACACTCATCACAAGGCAGAGGGTCTTCCATTGGTAGTCACACACAATGTGGTCCTGCTGGGCCCACTGTAATCCAGTGGTGAGGTTTCTTCCCATCTTTGCCTAGGGTGAAGGTGAAGTTGTCCATTGAGTCCTGCAGGCAGGATCAGAATAAAATGGGGCACTTGAGTCTAGTACCCAGGTTTTGAACTATCATTGCTTGGATTTCTAGTGCTTAACCACAGTGAGACATCTCTCTAAAACAAGGTTTAGTTTCCTGATCATAGACTAGAAGGATCATGGTCCATTCACTTTCTTATGACACTCATGGGAATGAGGGATTCCCAGTTTATTCCCTGTGGAGATTTATTCAAACCTCCTG